GAAATCACTTTCAGGCGATTTTGCTTCGAATTCGCTGGATATGGGACAAACCAATTAGAATTGTTTACAGATATCGAAAATGTAGTTAATAGATTACAAAACTTATGATTTGTATCCTTTAATCTCATCATCATTGTAATTGTTTAGTACAAACCAATGCAATGATTGTTTGGCCTCTATACAAATTTCAATGAGTTTCTTAGTGGACATTGCTCGACATTATGATAAGAAAACATAAAATTTCATTTTTTGGAAGGACGGGATCCTCATTTATATCAACGCATTTGAATTTAGTTTGCATACCCTTAAGATACATAGAGTATAATGTCAAAGCTTCGGCAACATAACCATCTACTATTGAACCTTCTAGTGTGGCATTGTTTATGACATAATTTTTAAGTTTTTTCATCTATCTTTCAAAAGGATATATCATCTCATGTGTGCATGCCCTCCAAAAATGGATTTTTCAGATAAATGAAGAACTAGATGAATCATTATGTCAAAAAATGTTGGAGGATATATCAACTCAAGATTACATAATATCTTCACCACTTCTGATTGGGCATTTATCATGTCATTAACATCTAATAACCGTACACAAATTTTTTGAAAGAATGTACACAAGTCAATGATTGTTGTTGAAATATTTGTTGGCAGACCTGCTTGAACCCCTATATGTAGCAATCACTGCTTGAGGATGTAATGATCGTGAGACTTTAACCCGACCATATTTGATCCAATATCAAAAACCTTCTTCTTAAAGTTCGATCCAAAACCATTAGGTAGTCTCACTCCTTTAGTGAATTGATAGAAACGTTGCCGATCAATTGGTTTTAAATAGTAACCAGCATGTGGTAGTATCACCTTCTTCTTGTTTTTGTCTTCCTTCTTGTTGTTGTATTTCTTCTTCTTGATGACTTTCTCTTTTGGCCATTGATCTGGTCAAATGCCCATTTTTTTGAAGTCATCTGTGCTCCTTTTGTGTCTTTGGTTTTTTTGTTCATCAATGCAGTATTCAAAACATTGTCACTCATATTTTCCTCCCCATGCATAACATATATATTGTGTTGTGGCTTGAGGGAAGACCAATAATCAAGCTTAAATAAGATACTCCATTTCTTCCAATTCAACTCTTTTTTTTCTTTGATCTTCGTGCCTTCTTTTTTCACTACCGTGCTTAGGATGTTTCCTCGGAATACGATCAGAGAGACGAGTTAGTTGCTTTAATATAGCTACATTATTGAATCGTCTTGGACGTGGTTTTGTCTCAGGTTGACCATTAAATAATAAACTATGCCTCCATCTATGGTTTATATATAAGAATCGTTTGCGACCAACATAAGACATCTTGTTGGTCACATGAATGGAAGACGTGTCTTCGTTACAAGGCATGCTAAATAACCTTGACCAACCCTACCAAACAAACTGCTACGTGCTGGAAAATCATTAATAGCCCATAAAAAGGTCGCACGCATATTGAATACAATGTTACTTGATGCATGTCTCATTTGGACTCCTTCGGCCGACAACATTTTCAAATCATCCACCAAAGACCTCAAGAACACATCAATGTCCTTTGAGGGTAATCTAGGACTAGGAATAAACAAAGTTAGCATGAAATAAGACTCTTTCATGCATATCGATGGTGGTGTATTGTAGGTAGTCAATATAACCGACCAAATTGTATTTTCCCTTCATATTTGAAATGTTTCTCAGTAATCTTCATAGTTGATATTAAGACCTTCCAAGAATTTTTAAAGACGTTTGGTTCTTCTTTTTAATCCAACTCTTATCGATCGTCATTACAGTTTCATTATTAAAAATTACATTGTATACATAGTTGAAAGTTAAATTGTATTTGGGCTGGGGTTTCCGCCAAGAAAGAGGCGTATGTGAATTTTTTGACTGACCCGTTGGAAGGAAGATCGACACTTAGACCAGCTGATGTTTTAGTATTTGGATGGGTTGGAAAAAAACATGCATGTGTGGATCTAATAGGGGTTTCCCCTCTTGTGGGTCTGGGCAGTGGGGTTTTCTATGTGGGGCAAGCTGCTTTAAAAGCTACATCAAACAAAGTGGCAAAACATGAGAAAGCGTGCATGGAAAATCAACACACGTTTATACCCTTTGCATTTGATACTTTCGGTTTCCTTGTGCTAGAAGCTGTAGAGCTACTCAATAGAGTCCAACGGGTCATGCATAGTAATGTTATGACTCCAAGATCTATAGATGTTGTTTTTAAAAGAATTAGTTTTGCCATCCAAAAAGGGGTTGCGGCACAGCTTGTTGCTTGTTTACCCGCTACGTCTATGTAAAACTTTCTTCTTATTTTTTATAAAAAAAAATGTTATGTGTGTTGCGATAAAAAAAAATTGGGCTATAAAACATAAGTTGGAGTTTAAAGTTTACTCTACCAGAGAGTAAAAATCAGACGAAATAGATAGAGTATTCACATGTATATAAAAAATATATATCCGAGAAGTAAAAATTGAATGGAATTGATAGAGTATTCACAAGGGTAAGCTTCTAAACTAACTTTTTGAATACCTTATCTCATATGTGAATGTGTATTGCATGATTGTTTGTTTAAGAAAAATTTGACAACATTTCCCCTTAACTCCCAAGTATATAAAGAAATATACACCCAAGAAGCAAAGAGACAATGACAACCAATTTTTCTTAAAAAACAATCATACAATAGACATTCATATCCAAATGAGATAAAGTATTCAAAAAGCAGTCCCAAAACGGGGGATAGCCCAAAATAAATTTCTAAATCAATTTGGGCGGATATTTCTAGGCTCTTAATGATTATAAAGAAGACACTTAAACTAAAAATCAATGATTCAACGTGTTTTCATACTTTTATTAATTATAACATCATACTTTTTTTTTTGTTTTCTATTATAACATCGTACTTTCAATAGCAATGTACTTTTATTAGTTTTTTCTATTATAAATATAAAAAAAGAAATAAAAATAGAATGCTTTAATAAACAAACCAATAAAAGTACGTTGCTCTTAATAACCTTTGCAGTTAGGTTATCTTTAATAGCAACATATTTTTATTAGTTTGTTTATTAAAGAATTCTATTTTCACTTTTTGTTTATTATTGGTTTTATTATAATACTATCGTACTTTAAATAATTAAGTTATTAGATTATAGATAATAACATTTTACTTTAAATAGTTTTTTTCTATTAGAAATATAAAAAGGAAATGAAAATAGAATGTTTTAATAATCTAACTAATAAAAATATGTTGCTATTAATAATCTTTGTAGTTAGGTTTTATTTAATAGCAACATATTTTTATTAGTTTGTTAATTAATGCATTCTATTTTCACTTGTTTCATATTTATAGTATTTATAGCATCTTATTTTTGTTTTTTTAGTTATATCATTGTACTTTAAATATTTTTTTCTATTAAAATATTTTTTTCCAGTTATAACATTGTACTTTAAACAATCATATTACCTAATTAAGCTAAAGTCATAATGATTACAATTAGTCGTTAACAAAATTAACCACTTTCAAAAAATATTATCATGAAAATAAAAATATACTATTAAGCACTTTACAATACAAACGAATAACAACTATTCATTAAGCATTTACTTACAAAAGAAACTAAACACTTATCATGAAAATAGAAACACATTAAGCACTTATCACTAAGTATTATCATGAAATTAAATACAAACACTTTAACTTATCAATTAAGCATTTTATCACTTCATCTTCTATGCACTCAAACTACTAAACCTAAAAAATCAACACAATCATACATATTTTACATCTTATACATCCAATTCCAATTTCATACAATTATACAATACAACTAAACACAAAATCAATCAAATTATACCCAATTTCAATTTCATACAATTATACAATACATCACCGTTGGCATAAACATGAGTAAAAGTAGACTTCAAACAAAATCAGAAAACAAAAAACAAAGAAAAAAATCGGGGCCCTTGAACCTTACCTCCGATGTAGAGACAGACTTTTAAGCCGACAGTGTAGGTTGCTAAATCACCAGAACGAATTGTGGAGGCCGATAGGAAAAAAACCCTAATATGGTAAAACACATGAGCAATCAGAAACAAAGAAGAAAAGAAGTACCAAGAAACATACCTGCTCGTCGCTAGTGAAGGAGGGTGACAAGAGTGGTCGTTTTCCGGAGAGTAGTCGTTTTCTGGAGAGTAGCCGTCAATCGCTAATTGAGAGTGATGAGTGGCACTACAAATGAGGGTCAACTAACCTTTTCTTTGGGATAAAAGCCTATACCAACGACAAGTCGTCAGTATAGGATTAAATTAAATGACAACGTTTTTATATTTTTGTAAATCAAAAAAAGAAAAATCTCTACCAGGTCGTCAAGAAACACATATGTCGACATAGGTTTTGAGAAAACCACGTAAACATTTTCCTTTCCCGCTTAATTTATGGCGAAGACAAGTCGTTTGCTTAGATTCTTTAGTCAAAAAGAAATTAGTCAACCATTCGCCGACGACAAGTTATGAGTATAGCTTAGCGACAGGACTTGTCAACATAGGTGTCATCAACGTAAGGGTGTATCCTTGTAGTCATAAGACTGTATGTATAATTTTTGTGCCATTTATATTCAAATAATTTTGTGCCATTTATATTCAAGTAACAAAAGATTAACAGCTTTGAAATTTAAGAATTATTTTGAAATTTTATAAAGAATCGAAACAACCCCTGATTTAAAATTTGTTGTTTGTTATAAAAGTAAAGCATTATGCCATGATTTTCTTGACACATGTACAATGTATATAAAGGGATGTAGGCGACAGATTTGTATACGAAATCATTTTTCTAGTAATGAACCACGTTTCATATATTTTTTTGTCTACTATATCTCTGTAACCATTCTAATTAAATACATATATTTCTCATAGATCATTTCCTTGTGATCTCATACAATTCAAGTCTTCACATAAAATATAACAAACACCCACCAGGATCATCATCATTTCCCTTGGTTTAAAGAGGATGAAACATCCAATGTCTTTTGTAGCAGATTACTCAAAGCACCCAATGAAGAAACACCAACAAAATTCTGCAATGGCAGTGCTCCTCTTACCCATACAACTGTTCCGGATTCATATCCCATCCATGTCTGTTTAGCATCCTTCAGATTAGCCATGGGTACAGCAGACGAAACATACTCTATAGGGACCAAACAGTTGGCGAAAAGGGTGTTTTTGGTTGCAGTCAAATACGTTCCCCAGTAACATGGTGGAGAAAGGTTGCCGACGGCTTCCAAATCTATTTCAAAAAGATCCTCCTCATCCTCCTCCTCCTCCTCTTCTTCTTCTTCTATATATTTCTCTTCTTTCATGCCTGCAGCACTGTCTTTACTGGATATACCGTGTTCTGGCTCACAAGTAATGAGTTGAAGAGTTGGAGCCATTTTGTGTGTCTGGTTTTTTAGGTCCGTGCATGGTGGCTTTTATTTGTGTGGTAAGAGGTAGGTAGGTGGTAAGTAAAAGATCTACAACAAAACTACAACCATAAGTGTTTTTTTCTTATTTAAAAAACACTACAACCATAAGTTCAAGACAATTTGGTGGTGGGTGATTGCATCAGTGTTTTAGCTGCTTTCTAATCCTATCTAATGTATTATTAGCTGCGACTTTGGAAGGAGAATTAGAACTTTCATATTGACTTTTAAAATATATTCCGTTTCCGTCATTGATAACCACATTGAAAATTATAAATCTTGTTTTAATCATAAAGAGTAGGTCCCCAAATCTAGTTCCCAATTTCAATAAGCGTCATGGAAATTTTGCACCTAATTCAACTAAAAATGTGAGCAAAAGTAGAGCCACCCACCTGAACAGAAAAACTGAAAGATGTTAGGCACTTCCATATGGTCTCATGGTTAATGATTCTCTCTTATTTAATAATAACAGTTCATCAACCACTAACCTAATTCTTTTTTCTTTTAACCAGCATTTTTCATTAATTAAGATGACAACATCGAAAATCCAACCTTCTTTTACAAAAAACATTATTCATAAACCCATTATGGGTTTTCGAAAGAAGAAACACTAAAATAACATGTTTTTTTAATTTAATGGCATATGATTGCTGCGATCTTTCTTTCCAGACTAATTCTTTTACATTAGTTGTATATAAATGTAATTTTTTTTTAGTTTTACTAATAATCAATACTCCCTCTGTCCCAATATTATTGTCCACAAACAAAAAACACATATATTAAGAAAAACATTAATTACCACTAACTTTATTTAATAAAATGACAGTTTTGTCCTTACTTTGAATTTAATGTTTCATTAAATGCTTAGTTGGTTAAGTAATAATGAGGGGGTATTTAGATAAAAATGTTATTTATTTTTAGAAGTGGACTATTATTTTGGGACAAACCAAAAAGGAAAGATGAACTATAATTTTGGGACGGAAAGAGTATTATTTATGATCAAAAAGTTATTATATCAAAGACAAAATTGCAAAAATGGTCCCTGTGATGAAAATTTGTAGATTTGATTATTTTCAACAAGTTTTGTTGTGGGTTTGGCTCCTCTTCCGTTAAGTTTAATTAAATGGTTGACAGTTAACTTCTTTAAAATGACAATTTTATCCTCAAGAACCATTTCATAGTTTTATCTTTTACTATACTATAAGGACCATTTTTGCATACATTCTTTTTTATTTTATTGAAGTATTATATACTAATAAATATTATTTTGGATATATATAATATTATATATTAATAAATATTGTCTTAGTGGATTATTAATTTATTTTACTTAATTCTTTTTTTTAATGTTTCTGTTAGAGTAATTCTTTTTTATTGAATTTATATATCAATAAATATAGTTTTAGATATATAATATCTATATCATAATAAATATTAGATTATTGTGGATTATTAATCTCTTTTAGTTAATTTTTGTAATTCTCTTTTTTAAAATTATTTTTTATTGGATTATCACTTTTAATTTATTATTTTCTTCATATACTAAATATTATTTTATTGGATTATTAATTTATTTTTAATGTATACTATTAGTTCTTGTTAATTTCATTTGTTCCACCACAAAATCGTAAGATACGCAAAATCGTCGTCTCTCATCATCGAAATCGTCAGGATCACTGCCAAACACCTTCATTACAGGTAGTTTATAATAAGAAACCATAGGAAAAACATCACCACCATCACCTGATCACCACCGCCACTTATAATTTTTATAGGTGTTTGTTGCACATTATGTGGGATATATATATATATATATATATATATATATATATATATATATATATATATATATATATATATATATATAAATGAAGGATTTCAGTGGATTATGAAAAGGTTGTCGATGTGGCTACCAACGACGCTGAGTGGAATAGGTTGGTGGGGTTTCTGTTGAACCTCCGATGAAGGTGTTTAGCGGTGATCCCGTCGATTTTTGACGATAAGAAACGACGTTTTTACGTATTTCGGCGACTTTGTGGTGAAACTAATAAAATTAAAAAAAAAGTTAATAGTATCCATTAAAAAATAAAATAACAATCCAATGAAATAATATTTATTATATGAAAAAAATAATAATAAATTAAAAATAATAATTCAATAAATTAATAATTCAAAAAAGTAAAAAAGAAATTACAAAAGTTAACTAAAAGAAAGTAATAATCCAATAGTGTAATATTTATTATGATATAAATATTATATATTAAAAAAATATTTATTGATATATAATAATATAATAAAAAATCAGCTATTGTGGTCATGGAGGTTCGTCTGCAGTGACTCCAGGACATGAGACAAAATCTTATGTTTGCAGCGGGGGGATTAGTCGGTGCGTGAAAGCTGACCCGAAACCCTCGTTAGGGAAGTTCTCTTTCCAAAAAAAAAACTAATAATACTTTAAAAAAGAATTACTCCAACAAAAAAGAAATTATAAAAAGTATCAACTAAAAGAAATTAATAATCCAATAAAAGTAATATTCTGTAATATATAATAATCCAATAATATATATTTATGATATAAATATTATATATTAAAAACTATATATATTGATATATAATAATTTAATAAAAAAATGACTCCAACAAAAAATAAAATTTTTTTAACTAAAATAAATTAATAATCCAATAAAACAATATTTATTAATATATAATATTATATATTAAAAATAATATTTATTATATATAATACTTCAATAAAATAAAAAAGAATGTATGCAAAAATGGTCCTTATAGTATGGTAAAAGACAAAACTGCAAAAATGGTCCCTAAGGGTAAAATTGTTATTTTAAAAAAGTTAACAACCAATCAATTAAACTTAACGGAAGAGAGACCAAAACCACACCAAAACTTGTTGAAAAGGACTAGATTTGCAACTTTTCAAATGTTTGGACCTTAACCACCTATAATAAAAAACTACTGAGACCATTTTTGCAATTTTGTGTATATAAAAAAACAATTCATCTTTTTAAACAAGTTAATTAAAAAGGTTATAAATATTAAAATATTCATTTTAGACTATTTGCAACTGATTTGATATTTGAGCCTTATAAAAGATCTTTTTGAAATGAATAAACAAGTTAAATTTACATTTATAAAATGTTGATAAAATGGAACTAAAATCAAAGAAAAAGATTTCTCCCTAAGTCATATAAATAAATAGGACTTACACATAAATAAATAAATAAATAAATAACTCATAAAGCATCCAATAATATGCACTAAGGGATTGATCAAAACGGGTACTACTCTCTCTCTCTCTATATATATATATATATATATATATATATATATATATATATATATATATATATATATACTTCCTCATTCACATAAATCGTCATATTATGAGGATACACAAACACTATTACACTCACATTGAAGGGTACACAAAGCAATTGGGGGTACATACAAAATTTCCCTTACTTTTAACCAAAAAACAAAATTTACTATAAGCAATGACTTATCCTACAAAACTGAAAGAAGACGGTGATATATAGGAGAAAGATGGAGAAACACGTAGAAATTAGTAGAGACGAATGGATGAAAACGCACTGCAAATGAAGACGTAACTGATTGAAGAACATAATAGATAGAAAGAACAAAGTAGATAGGTGAGGTGGAAGAAAACGATTGAATGATAAAGGCAGTGCTCCAATTCCAGCCAATGAGTAGCCGATCCCAGTCGGTAACAGCAAAACAAGAAACCACCCTCTTGAAAACTTCACACTATGCCTTAACATCACATATATTAATATGTATATAATATGAAACCGCAATTGACTTAGATTATTAAACCACAACATGAAACGTAATTGTATTTTTCATTAAAAATAATATAATTTTATTTATATTAAATAACGACATATTTTTAAATATTAGACATAATTTAGTGATAATTGATAATTATGAATGCATTGAATATTTTTGAAATATGTGAAATGAAAAACTAACGCCTTGTTTCGAATTATTTCCCATTTTGGGGTGGTGATATCAGGCATAAGTTGAAGAACTAAGTTTTAGACTCATTTGGAGGTGGATGATGTAATTTGGATGATCCGGGTATTCGACTTGTGTTTTGAAGTCAAAGGGTATTTTGGTAATTTGTCAGCTCGGACTTTTACGGAAATTGGAGGTTTTTTTGGGAACTTGTAAGGCAGGTACAAGTTGATTAGAGTGTAGAGCTTCTCGTTACCTTTTCAATGATATATGGATCATTGGAATCGGATTTATATCGAAGAAGTTATGGCCTTCGGAATGTGTTAAGGTTTGAGGGGAAACCCTAGTACGTGGGGCGTACCTACGGAGTACGCGGGGCGTACTGATGCGAAGGGAATTACGCTGGTCGTAATGTGGTGTATGCTTAGCGTACTGCAAGGATTGGATCGGGGGTGCGAGACCTTATACACTGGGCGTAAAAAGAGTACGCTGGGCGTACGGGGGGTAAAGGAAAAACCCTAATTTTTGGATGTGTGCCCTATATAAGCACATTAAGTCTTTTTGGTTGGTCTCTTTACAAACCTCCAAGTCTACAAAACCCTAGAAATCATCCCTTAGCCTCCATGGTTATGTTTTTGAGCTCATGGTGTGCATCTTGGTATGTTTTGGCTCACATATAAGAAGAATGAGTTTGGTGCAAGGTTGTGGATCAAGAAACAGCTAGTGGATCTGGATTATTTGCTTAATTTCTAGCTTGTTTGAGGTAAAAAGCTTTGATCTTGTTCATTGTTGGCTTAGATCTATTATGTATGAGTTTTGGTTCATTTTGGTCCCAAGAATGAGATCTAGTGGTTTGCTACCACTCCAGGAGCTATGAGTTGCCACTCTTTGTGTTTCTAAGGTTCTAGATGCATAAACTTGTCTCCTTTAGGGTTGGGAATCACCCATGCATGATATGGTGTCCATTTGGTGAAATT